CACTAAAGTGAAGCCAAGGAGAGTATCTACCCTAGCCACACCCGTGCTTCAACATCAGCATCCACAAGAGTCATCAAAGGCTTCTTCTTGCCTTCTCTCCTAGATGTCCCCATCCTACCTGAACGCTGTGTCCATGTTTGTCACCCTGCATTTCTTTGCATTTTATGTCTCCTCCTGATTTTCCTACCTCCTGTGCTTAGCCTGTTTAGAAACTGCCAAGGGGAGACTTGTGGATCTGTTTTTCTTATCTTCTTTTTTGTTTATTTGTTGTCAAGAACAAAAAGGAATAAATTCCTCAAATTTACAAGTATAACGAGTTGAGGATCCCCAGGGAAGAGGCCATGGTGGGGGGGACTCCAAACCCAATCTTAATTATGAGGTGATTTATTAACTGCAAAAAAGAATATATCAATAACCAATTATAACCAGCCAGGACTACTCCTAGGCAACCGGAACCCAGCAGCCCTGAGTAGCAACAAGTGGGGGTTTTTATACACCCCAAATGGGGAGGGGGGTGTCCTTGCATTAAATGGAATCTGTTTTTTGCCCTGGCTTCCCACACTGTCATGGCTTATCTCGTGCTAAGAGCCTCATTTCACAAGTCTGGAATTTTCTTACAACCCTCCAGAATTAGAAATTATCTTGAGAAATAGGAAGGCGTGCTAATGTTGGTTTTGCTTTTCTGTTTGACAACCAGATCAGAGCTGAGTTCTCCTTGGTTGCTCTTGTTTGGTTTCAAGTTTAGTTTTGTTTCATTTTGTTTGAGATAGTCTTTCTATGGTTATTATTTATTGTAAAGGTATGAAAAAGGGCTGGGAAGGTGGCTCAGTGGCAGAGTGCTTGCCTCAGTACCACATACCCAGAGAAAGCTAGAAGGGGCACTGTGGCTCAAGTGGTAGAGTGGTTCAAGCCCCAGGACTGGCAAAAAAAAAAAAGGTGATGAACAGAGGGTTACACTTACATAAGTAAAATAATGAGTACATTTGTTTTTGAATTCTGTTATTCTCTCCTTCATTTTGTTTCACTTTCCTCTCTTACTCCTCTTCCCCAAAAGTTGTGAAGTTCATTTCCAACATAGTGTCCAGTGAGAATCATGCTTGCATTTGTTCATCCTTTGTCTTGCTGTTTCTTTCTTTTTTAATTGTGAAAATACCATACGTAGGGGTTACAATTACATGGGCAAGATATTGAGTACATTTCTTATCAAGCATTGTTGCCTTCTCCTTTGTTTCCCCTTCCCATCCCTTCCCATACTCCCCCCCAATCCTTTCTCCCCACCAAAGTTGTAAAGTTTGTTTTTCTACATAACGACTTGTACATCTCTATTTAAACGATTTGTTTTTGCCCTTCCCCTCCACAAATTATACCAACATCAAATACAGTGAAAGCAGGGGTTATACCGTGGGGGAGGGACATACAAAGCAGCAAAGAAATCATCTTATAAATATGTTAGAAACAATCGCATGAAAGAAGAAAACATTTGAATACTTAACTTGGGGGTTCATTTCCCTAACATCAACTTATCTGACCTTTTCTGCTTGACTCAGACATATACTAGTTGTCTTGCTGTTTCTATGATTCTCTTTCCCTTCTGCCAATCAGATAAACATATAGGTTAGCCTTGGCAGCTTCCTGGGTCTCCCATACACACTGTCTAATCCAGACATCTACCAAGGCCTCCAATCGAGCCCCAGCTTCTGAATGCTTACCAGTCTAGCATGCTCTCCCCTCCCTCCAGGACAACCTGGAACACAAGAGATAAGAACTAGCCAATCTAGCTAAGTCATCCAATTTTTAATTTTCTGCCCCAACCCTTCCTTTGGCAGTTTGCCCAGCCCCTGCCTCATGAGACTTCTTCCAGATTTCATTCAAGACTACCACCACCGAGGGACAGCTGCTGCCGGCTGCATTCACCCAGAGGGGATCATATCTCTGCCTCCCGCCTCTAATGTCTACACCCCTTGCCAGCGGGAAGTAGCCAAAGAGAATCTGCGTTCTTTTTCATAATTATTAAAAGGCTGAAATGCAAGGTGCACTGGGAAGGCCGTGCAGATGGGCATATTCCTCCCCATTTCCCCTCCCCCCCAGCCCAGTACCTGCCCCCACCTGCATTACCTAGGTAACTGGCACAGACATCTGAAGGCAGGAGGCAGTCACCGCCCCTTTTGCTGAGATCACATCCTGGACCGCCCCTGGTCTCTGAGGTCACATCTGCTGAGGCCACACCTTCTCCCTGCTCCTTCCCTAGATAAGCCAGGGCCACTGGGGACAAGTGGCTTCCCCTTCCTTCCCCCTATCCCTGCCCTCACCTTCTGGAAATAAACTTTTCTCTCCTGCCTGAATACTGTGTGGTGTTCTCATTCTCAGCTACCTAATTAAACCTAACAATATGCAAGACAAAGGGTAAATAACTGCCAACAGTACATAATAAAAACCTCCTGTTCCCAATTCTTGGAGTTCACTTTGCACCTAGCAATTGGACTATTGTGATCCTTTGCTAGGAATATCATAGACAAGTTCTCATTACTACAAGTGAGGGAAACCATGCAACCTACATTTCTTTGGGCCTGGTTTGCTTCACTTAGTATAATTTTTTTTTCTAGGTCTTCTCATTTTCTTACCAATGGGACAATGTCATTCTCTCTCATGGAAGCATGGAATTCCACATTTTCTTGATCCACTTAGGAGATAGAAATTTGTTGCCTCCATGTTGCCCAGCTTGGTCTCGAACTCTTGACCCCAAGTGCCCCTCCTGTCTCAGTTTCCTGAACAGCTGAGAAACCACCCTGTCTGGCTTCCTTTGGATAGTAGAGGCAGACTCTGCTTTGCCAGTCTCTATCCCTCCACATTGTACATACTGGCTGTTTGAACTATGCTCATTTTTGGCCTGAGCCTTGTGAGTGAGTGAGTCTGGAACTTCTGCTTGAGGATTCTAGCAGCAAGTTGTTTGAACAACTTTCCCTCCAGGCCCTGGATTTCAGATTTGTAAATTTTTTTGCCTCGAATGTGGTGATTATCATATCTGATTTTGATCAATCTCATTGCTGTTCAATTCCTTCCTTCCTTCTCTTCCTCCTTCCCTTCCTTCCTTCCATCCTTCTTCCTTCCTTCCTCCCTCCCTCTCCATTCTTTCTTTTTTCCTTTCTTCTCTTTCTCTTTTTGCTTTCCTTTCTTCCCCCTCCTTCTCTCCCTCCCTCTGTTCCTTCCTTCCTTCCTCCCTCCCTCTCCATTCTTTCTTTTTTCCTTTCTTCTCTTTCTCTTTTTGCTTTCCTTTCTTCCCCCTCCTTCTCTCCCTCCCTCTGTTCCTTCCTTCCTTCCTCCCTCCCTCTGTCCATTCTTTCTTTTTCTTTCTCCTTTCTTTCTTTCTTCCTTTTTTATTGTGAAGGTACTGTACAGAGGGGTTACAATTACATGGGCAAGATAATGAGTACATTTCTTATCAAGCATTGTAGCCTCCTCCTTTGTTTCCCCTTCCCATCCCTTCCTATCCTCCCCCCTTCCCCCACCCAATCCTCCTCGCCCCCTTTCTTTCTTTCTTTCTTTTCTTTCTTTCTTTCTTTCTTTCTTTCTTTCTTTCTTTCTTTCTTTCTTTCTTTCTTTCCTTCCTTCCTTCCTCTGTCTCTTTCCTTCCTTCCTCTGTCTCTTTCTCCTCTCTTTCTTCCACCTTTCTTTCCTGTGTTGAACACCCCTACTTCTCCTTCCCAAGTTTAGGCAGCCTCCCTTGTTTTGGGGGTGGTTGAAAGGGAGTATGTTTTTCTAATCTTACCTCTTGTATCATATCCTCTTTCTTTCCTGAGGGTGACTAGGTGGGGAAAAGTGAGTTCCTAGAGCCTGTGACTGACATGTATTCAGTGCTGGCTGCCTCCTGTTTCTGCCTCCTCCCCTGGCTCAGCTTCCTGGCCCTCTGTGGTCTTATTATTAAGGGAGGCAGTGAGAAGCGGTTGTGGACTGAGCTGTCTGTGCTCTCACCACATAGTAATTCATGCTCTTCAAATATGTGGACTCTTCTTTTCACTTACGTCCTAATCCATCCACCTACTCACTCCATACTTATTTAGCGATTGCCCATTACATGCTAGAACAGTTTTCCATGCGGGCTTGGAGAAGAAGACAAGACGACGACGCATCATCACAAAACTCACCTTGTGATTTAGGACAAGGCATTTGCCTGATGGATCTTCAGTTTCCTCATAGCTTTAATGACTCGATTCTCGAGATCATTTTGTCCTGGATTGCTTTTGTCCTATGACTCTGTCTTTAACCTTCTGAAACTTCCTATGCTATCTTCAAACCGCAGACTCCCAGCTCTGCTGGCTAATTTAAGCCTTCTAGAGAAATCCCCCTTATACCTGTGGGTCTGTAAGTGATGATGAAAATGAGGGAGAGAGAGAGAGAGAGAGAGAGAGAGAGAGAGAGAGAGAGAGAGAGAGAGGACACAAGTCAAGGTAGAGGAGGATGAAGCAAGAGGAGAAGAAAGGAGAGGGTGCTAGTGGGAATCTGAACTGGGTGTTGGGTGGGAGTTGGGGAGGCAGCTGGGGGCCCAGGGAACCCAGCAGGAGGGCTTTCCCAGATGCTAGGACCACTCTGCGAAATTTCACACCTTCCCCATTCCTTACTGTCCTGGCTCCAGGTCAGGCTAGATTTCAATCTGCATAATGTGTCCCATTTAGAAGGGACTGGCTGAGGATACAGTGCTCCCGAGGGCAGGCTAAAAGGAAGAGGACAGCTAAAGGAAGAGGGAGGAAGTGGGCCCAGGAGTCTACCAGCAGCCCAGCCCAGCAGGGGTGAATTTGGTCTACATGCCTAGTGACCAGAAAGGGGGAGAAAAAAAAAGTGGGCTGTAACTTCAAGATCTTAAGACTCACAAGTTGGGGTGGGGGGGGGAGGGCTGTCCCGGAGGTGGGAGGAGGGAAGGGACTGGCCAGAGAGTGGACAGAGAGACTCAGGGGGTGGGTGGGTGTGCAAGGAAGTATCTTGGCCGTGTCTGAAGGGAGCAGGAGAGGGCAGAGGGAAGTCTGCGGGAGAGAGCTACCCTTTCAGGGTCCCAGGCAACAGAGGCAGCATCTCCAGTGAGCTGGAAAGATCCGCTGGGCATCTTTCAGCTCTTGTCACCCTCTGAGGCTCCAGCTGGAAACACAGGGTGCTTGCCGAGTTGGTGACAGAGCTGGTACGCTCAGGCCCCCTGTGCCCATCTTCTCTCCATACCCCAGCATGGAGGAAGGTGATTTTGACAACTACGATGGGGCAGACAACCAGTCTGAGTGTGAGTACACAGACTGGAAGTCCTCAGGGGCGCTCATCCCTGCCATCTACCTGCTGGTCTTCCTTCTGGGCACCACGGGCAACGGCCTGGTGCTCTGGACGGTGTTTCGGAGCAGCCGAGAGAAGAGACGTTCAGCTGACATCTTCATCGCCAGCCTGGCGGTGGCCGATCTGACCTTCGTGGTGACCTTGCCCCTGTGGGCCACCTACACCTACCGGGATTTTGACTGGCCCTTTGGGACCTTCGTCTGCAAGCTCAGCAGCTACCTCATCTTCGTCAACATGTACGCCAGCGTCTTCTGCCTCACCGGGCTCAGTTTTGATCGCTACCTGGCCATCGTGAGGCCCGTGGCCAACGCTCGGCTGAGGCTGCGTGTCAGCGGGGCCGTGGCCACCGCCGTGCTGTGGGTGCTGGCTGCCCTTCTGGCGGTGCCTGTCATGGTATTCCGTACCACTGGGGACATGGACAACAGCACCAAGGTACAGTGTTATATGGACTACTCCCTCGTGGCCACCACCAGCTCAGAGTGGGCCTGGGAGGTGGGCCTGGGCATCTCATCCACTGCCGTGGGCTTTGTGATCCCTTTCACGGTCATGTTGACCTGTTACTTCTTCATCGCCCAAACCATTGCGGGTCACTTCCGCAAGGAGCGCATCGAAGGCCTTCGGAAGCGCCGGCGGCTGCTCAGCATCATCGTGGTGCTGGTGGTGACCTTTGCCCTGTGCTGGATGCCTTACCACCTGGTCAAGACGCTGTACATGCTGGGCAGCCTGCTGCACTGGCCTTGCGACTTTGACATCTTCCTCATGAACGTCTACCCCTACTGCACCTGCATCAGCTACGTGAACAGCTGCCTCAACCCCTTCCTCTACGCCTTCTTTGACCCCCGCTTCCGCCAGGTGTGCACCTCCATGCTCTGCTGTGATCAGACTGGGTGTGGGGGCCCCTCTCACAGCAGCAGTGGGGACAAGTCAGCCAGCTACTCTTCAGGGCACAGCCAGGGACCTGGCCCCAATATGGGGAAGGGCGGGGAGCAAATGCATGAGAAATCCATCCCCTACAGCCAAGAGACACTGGTGGTTGATTAGAACTGGGATCGGAGAGCAATCTGCAGTTCCCGTCTGCTCCAGCCCTTCCCTCTGCTCTCTGAGAATTAGAGAGCAGTGACTCTGTGTTTGTCTTGCATTTCACTCTTTCCCGGTCCTCTGCCTCTTGGATCGGTTCTATTTTCCCATTACTCTCCTATTTTCCCATTACTCTTTTGTTCTTTCTTAGAGAGAGAGAGAGGGAGAGAGAGAGAGAGAGTGGTGGAAAGAAATTTGAGCCCTGTAGACAGAGACCTGAGTTGAGCTACTCTGCCTCTGTGAGGAAGACCTTGTAATCTCTGAGTCTATGTTTTTGTATTTGTATAAAAAGGGGGGGGATAATATGGACCTTAAAATGTTGAAGTGTGAGTCATCACTCAAAAATTAGTTTCCTTCCACCCATTCCTTAGATTTCTAATCCTCTTTGCTTTCCTTGATTAGTTTTCCCACTTTCTGTGCTATTTGCCACTTTCTTTTTACTGTTAATTCTCACCTCCTAGCTCCAACCCCTCTCCATGAATAGGTTCTGTGGGGCTCCTAAGGGTTAAGAATCCTGAAGCTTGTAAAACAGGACTCAGGTCAAGCTCTTATCCTGTTTTCTGGGAGCCAGCTAGGGCATGGGCTGGGACTGGGGACAGGCAGGGGGGGGTCAGTAAAGAATTAGTGCTTCCAGTCCTCAGAGCCTGGAGCTCTGGACCCTTCCCTAAAATCAGATCCTGTTCATTGTCCTTTTAGAGCCAGGGTCTAGAATGATTGGGGAGAGCTACCCTCTCAGTGCGATGCTAATTTCTACCCTTTTCTCAAGACCATTTCCTTCTCCACTGTTGTCTGTGAAAATTAGAAGGTCATACCCTCGATGAAACCAGGAGTTCCCATCTATGAATGGGGAGAGTCAGGGAAGGGCCGACAGAGAAAGAGGGGATGGAGGAGTGTTTGTGTTTATTCACTACCTTATGCTGCTTGGCTCTCCCCTCCCCCAATCCGAATTCTTCCAGCTCCCTCCAGAACTGTGAACCCCGAGTCTTTCTCTTGTCTTTCTCTCTCACCCCCATTATCTCCCAAGCTTTTTTTTTTCTCCCCTGGGCATTGGTGCTGAGTCACTCGGTTGGGTGAGGATGCTTGCTTGCTTTTTTTTTGTCTGTATGAATATATAGGCACATATAAATAGATGAGCATCGAGTGGAAAGTGTTCATGGTTGAATGGTTTTGGATGACTGCCCCTTACCCTCAGTGTCCACTGTACCCCTTCTTGTCACCCAGCAGGGACATGGGCAGGCATGTAGAATAGAGATGAGCCCACTCTCCCCATCCTCCCCACCCCCTTACTGGATTTGGGGGGACTCTGGCGGCTGGTCCGTGCGCAGAGGAGCCTATGTTTGGATGCACTGAGCGCTCTGCAGGGAGCTCTTTCACAGGATGTGATTGCACCCAGAGCCTGGGGGAGTTCTGATGAGCGGGGTCCTCATTCCTTCTCCAGTCCCCACAGTGCAAAGATGAGCAGGGGTAGATCCCTCCCAGGCCTCCCACCTTGATTTGAGTAAGTGTTTTTCTATTTCCCACCTTTCCTGAGTCCGTGGTTCTCATCCTAAGGCGGGACACCTGCTTGCCACAGGGGAAAGGGGACAGAGTGAGTGCGTTCCTTCTCCACGGTTGCTCCTTCTTTTGTCTTCTCTCGCTGGATCTGGGGACTGGAGACTGGGCTTAGAAATGCCACGAGGAGGCGGATTTTGCCCACTGTCTGCACCACCACCACCACCGGAGACACATGGAGGATAAGATTTATGTGGGGGCTTGGGGAGCTGGGAATGGGGTGTGCATCTTCCTGGTTTTGTTCCTGGAGGACTCTGGAAATGAAGGACAAGACAGGAAGAACCCAGCTCGATGTAAATGGACAGCTTCAACCTTCCCTGGCGCGGGGCCTGCTCTGGGTGCAGGGGGAGGGAGAGAGGGAACATGGTGTCTTTCAGCTTACTCTCCATCCTTAGAGACACTTGCTCTGCAGAGGACTGTTTTGAAAGCACCCATTCCAGGCTGGCGGAGGCTTCTAGAAGCCCAGGAGATGCCCCTAAACCGCTCCTGAGTGCATTGCAGACACTTCCTGCCTGGAACTCATCCATAGCAGAGGAGACTGCCTTGTCTCCCTCCTCCACTGCTCCCCATCAGAATGTCTGGCTATTCCATTAAATCACTGTAGTTTATCAAATAAAACTGTTTTGTGTAACTGCTCTGTCCAAAGCCTCCTCTTAAAAGAAGACAGTGTTTTAGGATAAAGAACTTGAGTGATTTAGTAGGAGGTGAGTGAGCATCGTGGACTAGGGGCAGGAGGGTCCAAAGGGAGGAATGGAGTGGGAAACTCTGTGTGTGTGTGTGTGTGTGTGTGTGTGTGTGTGTGTGTGAGTGAGTGAAAGGTGGAGGGCGGTGGGGGGGGCAGGGGGGGAGAAAATAGACACCAGGAAAGGGAAAGGATGTGAGAAAGAAAAGGAAATAAAGGAATGGGGGGGATGGGAGAGGGGAGGGTGATGGTGATAGTTAAGCTTGTGCTCTAAAAAGGTACAGAACATATAGACACTCATTTTAGAGTCTAGTGTTACAAAAAGTAGCATTTCTTCTCATTGAGATAGGCCTGTTATTCAATTATCCTTCTATTAATCCATTCATTCAGTCACTTCTTTATTCGTGTATTATCTTCCATTTATTTATTCATATATCCCTTGATTCACACTTATTCACCATCATTTCAATACCCACCTTGTTTAGACCAGAAATGTGAATTCCTGTTCTTCAGTCAGAGTCATTCCAGATGCTTCTGAATATGTCCATTCTTGCTGTCATCCAAGACCCACAGAATCTCAGGCTCATGGACTCATCCTGGACATTCTCCAGCCCTGACCACTCTTCAGAAGGTTCGTTCCCCAGGGAAGGCCACACTTAGGGCTGTCTTGGTAGATAGTGATTGAAGTGGGTACAAAGATCAGACTGACAGAGCCAGGGAAAACTGGCCCTGGATGGTCATCTCTGTGGGGAGGAAGAGGATGAAACAGGTTTGGACGGGGAGAGCAAACTCAGTCCAGGGCTGTTTACCTTCTTCAACAAAGGCTTCCTGGGGCTTAAGAAAGCTTTCAGGTGACACAAAAGCAATCGCCAAGGAGAGTAATACATGGGGTTCCGCCACAGTGTGATATACTCCCCCCCTTCTCCCCCCTTCCACCCCCATCCTCTCCTCTCCTCTAATCCTTGCAGCCAGTCTTGCAGCCAGAGGGGCATATGCATTTCATTTTGCTAGGAAGGAAACTGAAGGTCATAGAGACACGCTAGGTCTAATCTTAGTTACAGGATCAAGGGCGCATGGCTACTTTGTGGAAGCATCCAGAAGAATGTCTCCAACTCCAGAGTCCACACTGGACCACGGCTTGGTGATCTTTCCCCCAAAGGACAGATGAGGCTGGGAGGGAAAGGGCAGTCACATCTGAAACTGGCGCATACTGGGGACTGGAGCAGAAGAGGGGCCTGCTGGGGATGGTGGGAAACACTCAAAAGAGAGAGGGACAGAGAGAGACAGACAGACAGAGAGACAGACAGAGAGACAGAGACAGAGAGAGACAGACAGAGAGACAGAGAGATGGAGACAGACTGAAAAGAGAGAAGCAGTAACAGACAAAGGAGAGAGAAAATAGAGACAGTATAGATAGAATGAAAAAAAGGAGAAATAAGGACAGAGACATGAGGAGGTAAATGGTAATTTAACATTAGGAGGCAGGGCAGAAGACTGAGGACACAGAATGAGAACCTGATTTCTTTCTCTTTTTTTGAAACACACAGTGAAAGCCATTCAGGAACGTATAACTGTAATAGCTTTCCTTCCTTCCTTCCCCCCCTCTCTCTCATCTTTCTTCTTTCTCTTCCTTCCTTCCTTCCTTTCTTTCTTTCTTTCTTTCTTTCTTTCTTTCTTTCTTTCTTTCTTTCTTTCTTTCTTTCTTCTCCCTTCCTTCCCTCTTTCCTTTCCTTCTCTCTCTCCCTCTTTTCTTCTTTCCCTTTTTTCTTCTCTTTCTTTTTCTTTCCTTCTCTTTTTACTTTCTTTGCATCTCTCTCTCTATCACTCTCTCCCCTCTCTCTTTCTCTTACTTTCTAGCTGCAATAAAAATTTTTCCTGGGAAATTTGAGGTCAGTTGTTGGAAGCACAATAAAATGATAGCACACCTGGCTGGATGCTGGTGACTCACACCTGTAATCCTAGCTACTCAAGAGGCTGAGATCTAAGGATCTGTGGTTAAAAGCCAGCCCAGGCAGGAAAGTCCATGAGGCTCATCTCCAATGAACCACCAGGAAACCAGAAGCTGCACCGTGGCCCAAAGTGGTAGAGTATTAGCCTTGAGCAAAAAAACTCAGTGACAGTGCCTTGGACCTCTGAGTTCAAGCCCTATGACAGGAAAAAAATTAGAGCACACATAATAATTATTCACACTTTTCTTCACTTACTGACTGGTCTTGAGCTATTACTTACAAGCTAAGCACTACTGTAGACACAAGATCAAGCAGTCAGCGGAGCTGGGTTCACAGGTCACTGGAGGAGACAGAGCTTGAGTGATGGCAATGCGGGGTGAGTGCTGAGAAGGGAGGTGCCCGGCTTCTGAAGCCTGCAATCCAGACAGCGGAGTCTGGCAGCACATCAGAGGAGACTTCAGAGTGCACAGGAACCTGTTCTCTGGACCGTGGAGGGTGAATGGTTCATGGGGGAATGCTCTGGGCAGTGGAAATCCACAAGAAATAAGGGAAAACAGAGCCCTCTGAGGAGCTGGGAAGATGGCTCCTTCTGGTGTTACTCATAGCCACCTCAGCTCTGGGAGGTGGATCAGCCAGAATCACAGAGACAACTTGTCTAGGTCTCAGAGCAGGGATGAAAAGAAGATTGGGGGCTAGGACTGAAATCCGAGTCTCTAGAGAATTTGGGTGAGTGGGAAAGGCACAGAATACTTTGAGGAAAACATTAAAAAAGAATTCATGACTTCCAGTTACTTCTCTCCATGAGCATGAGATGTCTAACCCTATAAGTTAGCTCCTGTGGCACCTGGACCCAGGTCTGTGAGTTCTGATTCCTCCTAGGTA